CTCTTTAGGATGTTTTCTATACGAGTCAGGCAGAAGAAAAAAAAACATGGAGATTCTCTCACTAGACCTCCGTCCTCTCCTGTGGCAGCGTCCATCCCACGTAATTATGTGAGGCCACAAATAGAAAAGCAGTTTACTCCCCTCCTCGCTAGGCAGAAGATTCCTGTGTTTTGTTTTGTTTTGTTTTTTTTGTTTTTTATTGTTTTGTTTTCAAGGTTGTACCGAGCCGAGAGAACGGTTGGATTGTAGTGATTAGAAAGAGCTAACTTTCCCACTCAAGCTATGACAGGATATTTACAGCAGGACGGATTAACGGCTAATTCTTCAAGTGAGAACAAACACTTTCTGTGTTTGACTTTGCATGCCGAAAATCCAACAACTGAAAATTTGATGTTTGAGTTATAGGGCTTGGATGAACATCCTGCACAAACATGGACACATTCAAATAAGATGTGACTCTGGTTGTTGTGTAACCATGACCAGTGAGTCATGAGAGCGTGTCTCTGTGGTGGCTGTCAGAGGAAGAAGTCTGCCTGGGGTGGAAACAGGGGAGATGGTCTGAGCTGTCGGTTAAGTCAGAAGATGGATGTTTGGGTTTGTTTGTGTTTGCCTCCAAAGCCAATGGTCTGACCCGGATGTGCAAGTGGAGTTTCGACAGAACTGTGGCATGATGTAGACACAAATGTGATCATATCCGCATGAAAACACATGCTGTGTCTACATACTGTACTGAACATGGCAGCCCAGGAGGCGTCCAGGGGCCGTGGGCAGAAAACAAATGAGCCGTCCTCTTTATATAATCCTTTAAAAAACAGCAGAATCAACTGGAAGCCTTGGACAATGAATGGACAGATGAACATGGCTGTTTGTAGCCATTGGTTTAGAAATAGATGGATGGATGATAGATAGAGGAAAGATAGATAGATAGATAGATAGATAGATAGATAGATGGATGGATAGATGGATGGATGGATGGATAGATGATAGATGGATGAATGGATGGATGGATAGATGGATGGATGGATAGATATATAGATGGATGGATGGTTGGATAATTTAGATAGATGGATGGTTGGATAGATAGATCCATCGGAAGTTCCCTTTGGAAAATTAAGGAGTTTTTAGATCCCCATGCAGTATTCGGACATGTACATTTTTAGTCATTTTGAGATTGCGATGTTTTCCCTGACTCACCCCTCCTCCACTTGCCCCCTCCTCCAACCCGTGTAGCTCTGGCAGGAATATGCAAAACCCGAGGGAGTGGTGGGTTTGTATTTGTACGTGAGAAAAGGCAATTTGTCAGAGACCTCAGGGAGCCCCGCGGTGATGACAGGAGAATTACAGTGGCCGTGTAACGGAGGCATTGAACATCTAACGTGGGGACGGGATGAGAAGGGATGAGGAGCCGAGGCTCCGCGTGTCCTGGGAGCTGTTTGTTTTCAGAGTTGCGTAGGCAGTCGTATTTGTATACATACAGTATGTCTGTCTGTGCTGCTGCTCTCCCACTACAGGAGAGCTTAGCATGCACACACACACACACACACATAGGTACGCCTTAGCTGTCTGTCGTACGAGTCTGGATCCCGGCCGTGCCTCCGCAGCAACGTTATCATCCAAAGAGGCAAAGAGCCAGCTTCTGATTTAATAAGCTGCCTGGGGAGTAACAGAGAGGTGTGGAGGCACTATCAGCTGATAACTGTTCTCCCTGCAAGCCCAGCTTTCCTCTCTGATAGCCCATAGTGAGTGTGTGTGTGTGTGTGTGTGTGTGCGCACCACCCTGTGTGTACTGATTTATTAGGCTGCGAGGACAAATTTTGTCTCAGAACAGTCATTGTGGGATATTTTGATTTCGTAAGAGCAGATTTCTTAAAACTTTAATGTACTTTCAGATTGAATACTTTACGGATTCGCAGGATAAAAAGGCTGGGGCCGCCTTTTTAAAGGGAGTCTAGAATTCATATTGTAAAAACACTCAGTGGGCCAGGGGCCAGGTGGCACTCAGGTACACTCTTTTTATTCTTCTTACGCAACAGTTTCATTAAATTCATATTATATGTGTTCATCGAGAAACACCTAGGTTTTTTGGACACTGAAAAGTCTATTCATTTTGTGCAAAAGTAAAATGGAAAACTTTTTTTCAGTTAGACTCTAGAAAGAATTCCCTTCAAAACCACACTGTGACGGCTGTTAGCCTTCATATAGCAGTTATGTAGAAAATAACTAAAAGAAAAGACATAAATTTAGCCTTTGACAAACAAAAAAACTTAACTTTGACATTGAAAAGCTAATGTTAGCTTTCGTCCTACACTCAAAGTTAGTTAAACGCTTAGCATAGCTATAGTTATTCAATCCAGACGGGTGTGGCCGGGGAAGTGCTTGGTGCATCAATTTACATGAGATGCAAAGATTACGGCGTCAGTGTAAGCAGTGCAGCCCACGTCAGCGGGCTGCAGCCCACTTCAAATATGTCCATCTTCATTAGCCTCAAACAGACAGCAGAGAAAGGTCCACACATGATGAAGGCTGATTAAGACAGTCCTGGATTGAGGCTAGTCTTTATAGCACTAGCCTCCATCGATGCATCCAATAACATGATGTTGGTGCAGACAAGCAACAGGACAGACGAGCAAAGACACGGCAGTGAATACAACAGCATCCTTGAAGCCGGCACTGAAGAGTCTGAGTCTCAACAAAGAAAGGAGAAACAGAAATGCTGGAATTCACTTTATTTATTTTTTTAATATTTAATATTTCATACTTTTTTTTTAAATCTACTTTGTTAAGTTGTGGGTTACGTCTTGGCCTTGGAGTTCCACAGAGTCTACGTGTAACAAAACAGCATAGAATTAATCATTTTCAAGCAAAAGAAAAGAAGTAACAGAAATGACAAAAATTTAAAAAATAATATATGTATTTTTCGTTGGTTGTTTTTTTTTTACCATTTATATGACATGCTAGGAGATACATGGGATATATGAGTCCGCCTGCAATCGCTCTAGCAGTTGACAGTTCAGTCTAATTCGTTACTTTTTATAGCAGTCTGCTAAACCAATGTTTAAATATAAGCTAACATGACATCCTTCTGCTGCAGATGTAGAAGAATCAATAGTTACTTAGCAACACTAACATAACTAGCTTCATAGTTAAGGTCAGCTGTTCCCAGTCACTGAGCCCCTTCTATATTCCAACCAGGTTGACGCAACCCCAGCTCCACACATATATATATAAAACCACCATTTATTTGGTTATTAAAATACCAGGGTTTGTTTGTTTGTTTGTTTGTTTGTTTTATCGCAAACCGCCATCACATTTTCTATTTCCACACCCCGTATTGTCAACACCACACTTTGGGAATCCCTCATTCAGGTTCAAGTTAACATCTAAAGGTGAAGGATGAGTTCATGAGAGGTTTTATAAACTCAGTTTTTCTGACTGCACGCCAAAAACAGCTCTGTCTTGTTTTATGAAGTGACAGAAGTGGTGGGAGTCTGCACTTGGACACTGATTACTTTAGAGAGATTCAGGCAATCTTGGGCGGTTTGACTGCCTCTTCGCATCTTAAAAGAACCAGAAGATAACTAGTTTACATGTTGCTGACCTGAAGTGATTGCTGGCTTTTCTAAACTTAAAGCTTTGACCTTTTTCTTAACCTTTAAGTCATGTTAATTAATTAAGGGACCGCTGGTTCTCCCTCCTCCTCCCTTCAGGGGTTGCCACAGCTGATCATTCGCCTCCATCTTGCCCTATCCCTCTCCCCTTTCCTGCTGTGACATAACCATCTCTACGTCCTCCTTCGTTAGGTCCATGAATCTTCTCTGTCTCCAACGTCCTTCGTCCAACAGGTCATCGTGTTTCCTCTCGTTAGCACGCGTTCAAACCATCTAAACTACAGCTCTTAAACTTTATCTAACTTTCTCAGTAGACCAAGCTAACATGCAGTATTCTGAGAAACTTTTCTGGACTATAAGTCCAATTTTTTTCTTAAACAGCCTCTCATCACAACAGGCTGTAATTAATAGCCCAAAAGGGATAGGCCAAAAAAAGTTTTTTACACTAAATATCTGGGCAAAAGTTTTGCTTGAAAGGGATAGGCCAAAAAAAGTTTTTTAAATATCTGGGCAAAAGTTTTGCTTACAATAGCAAATTTAAACAAAATAGCAAATCGTTCTAAATTACAGGTTTGATGTCCATCTGTCAATCACTGTCCAAAAAACAATCAATACATGTGCTCATTCCAGTAGTGGATTCTGCACACTCAGCGTGTCTGGTTTTTCATAGTGACACCTTCATACTGAAAGTGTCTCCTTTTTTTTTTTTTTTAGGCCACAGATTACCTCTTCCTGCGTACTGTACAGATACTGTAATCCGCCTCAAAGTCGAAGTATGTTTGAGTGTGTGTTTGTGCACATAAATAGTACTGTGGTGTGGCCACCGTGACCCGCTGCTGACACCGATGATTGATCCCGTTGCTGGAATAAATGCTTGTGCACCGCGGAGCATGCGGGGTCCGCTGAAACGCAGCCAGGTGGAAAATTAGAAATCTCTTCATCCCCGCTCCATTTGAAATCCGATATCTCCCATCCTCCCCTTTGCGCAAGCCATTTTCCTCAGCCAATACATCAATAAATGAGTGACATTTGAGTACATGTGTGTAAATATATGCATAGTTAAGAGGCAGGCCCCTTTTTGGGGGAGGTACAGAAAAAACATTAGCATGCACTAACGTTAAGATTTCGTCCTGCTCCACATGCGGCCTCGTGCTCACTCACGAGTGCAACCAGCCACATACACATTCACTGAAGTCGTACAGTGTGTTCTGGGTGTCAGATGGAGGTGTAATGGTGCCTGCGGTATGAAATAAATCAAAGTCAGGCGTCCTCTGGGTGCCGCACCTGAGCTCAGGTCTGCACCTACAGGCACACAGGGACACTAATGTTGTCTTACGGTAACATTTCCTGTCTTTTCCTAACTACTAACATCTATCTCTTTATGTTGTCCAGGTACTTCTGCCCAGGGTAGCTCCCTCCTGGCCTCCCTCCCCATCCCGGGACGGCCCCTCCAGCCTCAACTCGACCTCAAGCACCTCCTGCCCTTCAGACTAAATGGCTCCTCCCCCCTCAGCCTCTTCCCCAACTTCAACACAGTGAGTCCAAGAACATCTTGTTATAGTTCATTTGGCCTAGTCAGTGTTCAGGGTCAATTCCAAGACCTGGTCGAATATTTGTAGTCACAGAAATGAAAGAACTGTAATGTTCTAAAGGTGATAAAGCAGTGTTTCTTAAAGTGTAGGACAGGGTTCATCGACGTGTACCTCCCACGTCGACACATTGTTTTTTCTCTTAATAGCCCTACTTTACAGTATTGCTCCCTGTTTGACATTACATCAGGGTTGTCAAACATATGGCCTGGGGCCCAAAACTGGCCCGCTATGGGGTTCAAAACGGCCCTCTTAATGAATTTTGAAAGAGAAAAAATGGCTTCAAGTTCTTAATGTTTTGTCATTATATTTTAATAAATATGAATATTTTCTAATATAGTGGTACTTGTACTTGAAAACTCATTAAGCCGTAAGTGGCCCCTACACCAAAATGAGTTTGATCCTACACTGTTGACCATTGACTGTGACTAAGGTTTTTTTAAAGTTCTTGAAACTGTCTACTATTTGTTTGAAATGCAAACATCTGCTCCAGATCATATTTGAAATCGAGACCGGGACAATGGCGGTCCTTTAAAAACACTCACAGAAACAGGAAAACCAATTAATTCTGCCAACTACAGATATTTCTCCCAGACCCCAGATGGCCTGTTAATAAAGAGGAGTCTAATTAGATACAGGAGAAATACCACGTCTCTCAGTGCTGGAGGAAAACAAATGCTAAAAGGTCTGTCCTTGCAACAGGAAGACATTTGTCTTTTTACATTTCTGTCATGTTTCGTCTGTGAAAATGCAATTTGTGATGAAAAAAACGAGACGGGAGCTGAACAAATGTGAAGAAAATATGCAACTATTGATTAGAAAAAGGCCCGGCGGACACAGTAGAATGATTTTTTTTTACCCCGTGGGCAGAGAGAGCTTTTATAATTTAAGGGTCAGAGTAGCGATCCACATGCTTAATAAATTTTCTGTCACTTCACGCTGGTTGACTGCTCTCGTTATGAGGCGGGATGGTGGGGGGAACGGAGCGTCTATAAAACTGTGTCCTTAAATCTTAGCCGCCTTGTTATCCACTTCCTCATTATCTCCGCTGCCAGGCCTCGTCCTGCGGCTCCGTACAGAGGACCTCACCTCGGGATCAGGACGCTAATCTTTATTCCATCGTCGTCTGACCTCCCGGCCCCGCGGCCGTCACCTCAGTATCAGCGTCTCTGCAGATGAGAGAGCATTATTACTTTGTTTCTAACGTCACCGTCACACTGTTCACTTCCTCGACGCCTGTGCTCTGATACCTGGCCTCAGCTACGGTGTCCAGAATTAAACATCTGCGTCTTTGATCCTTCAGCAGCTACTACACTGTGTGTTTGTGTGTGTGTGTGTGTGTGTGTGTGTGTGTGCGCAGGTACTGTGTTTCTTTGATCCGGGCTCCACACTTTGTCTTTGAGCTCACTTACTTATTGCACGCTGTTATAACATTTTCCTCTTGTCTGTCGTTTGAAAATGAAACCCAAGCCTCGGTCTCCTGCTTCAAGATACACTTCACATGCTTTATTTATTTATTTTTTTCTTCAAATAAAAGGATTGTAGTGTAAGTGAGAAACCCAAACAGAGACACAAAGAAAAAGAAGAGTCTGGAAAATGGTAGCGAGAAGATAGTGCCTTAAAAAGGTGCTTGAAACACTTGAAATTAAATCATATTATGCCTTTTCTTTTAAAGGTGGTTAAATGGGTCTGACTATTGTTATTACCATACAATAATGGAGGATTTGTACACAAAAAGCCATTATGTGAATACCCTGCTTTCAGCCAGAGTTTTGTAACAGATTAAAAAAAAATTTAAAAATGTTCTGCAAAATTTACTAAAAAAATTACTACTAAGAAAAGTAAACTTTTTTTCAAACTGACCTGAATTAAGAAAATATGCCTTAAATATTTGAAATTAGCTTCACGTCATGTTAAAACCTTACTCGAATATATTAAAAAATCCAATCATCCATGAATAAAAATTGAAATTTCAATAATAATTAAAAAATATGTATTTTAATTATTTATAAAATGCAAAATATACATTCATTGTTAATAATTTTTTTGCTACCTATGCCAAAAAATATATATATAAAAATCAACCTGGGTAGCCAAAATAACATATTTTATTCATATAAAAACATAAAGAATAGAAATTACGCTTAACAGAACATTATTTTATTACAAAAAAAAATATTTTTTTATCTACAAAAAAAGATGATGTTTTGATTATTAATTTATGTTTACTATACTAATTTACGATTATTAACATACTATTATTTAGTTTCAATTTGAAAGAATACTCTACACAGTCCAGGATCCGGATCTGGGAAAAGTTGAGTGAGAGACCAAGACAGACAGAGACACAGAGACATCTGGTTGTTTCCTACAATTGAGGACATGTTTGAGGGGGTGGTTCTGTGATTCTGTGTGTGTGTGTGTGTGTGTGTGTGTCAGGGACGTCTCCTGTCTGGTATACAAAAAGTGCAGTTTATTCTCTTGCCTACCGCTGCAGGTCATGAGGTTGTCTCCACAGCCCTGTGGAGGCCTGAACATGCCCAGCAGCAAAGGCAGAGAGGAGAACAATCACTCGTCCAACGCCTCCATGTATTTATATTAGCGGTGGAGGTGAGAGGGCAGCTCTCCGCTGCATGGTTTTGTCTGTGTTTTGCTTACGTTTCGTTGGGAAATTTGCTTTATTTTGTCAAACCCATGTCTGGGCCTTTGTTTGGCTCTGTTTATATCTGAATGTGTAATCTGTCTAGTAACAAAAAATAATAATTTTCAAAATAATTTTTCTAAAGAAATTAATTGCCAGTTTTTGGTCTCTTTCAGTAAAACATCATTTCCATTTTATTTAATCATTCTTATATGGGAGTCGACAAAGAGATGATTTGTAACTGGTCGATGTCTAACGCTAATTGTCGTTCTCAGTGTTGTGATTAGCAATTTCAGGTCAAAGTACAGAGAATTGAGAGACGAAGAAAATTGAGGAAGTAGAGAAAATGTCGAGAAAATAGGAGAAAGACAATTTCGGTCTTATTTAGCAGTATTTGATGATAAAGCATGAAGTGCTGTCCCATAGAGGCGAATCGCAAGTAACCTTGTAAACTATCACTTGTCCTGCTTTATTGTCTGTTTTCCTCTAAACGGGATTCTTACACAACTGAATTGTGCATGGTATGTTTCGGATTTATTCAGTTGAAAATGTAAATGTGAAAATATGAATTTTCCCCACATACCACCAGAGGGCGCGAACGTACCACTGGTGATATGCGTACCACAGTTTGAGAACCACTGCTTTAGATGTTATGAACACAGGGATACTGTATGTTCAAATCCAGTTTTCTGGCCCGTGACTCCATACGTTGGATCGTGATACATTCACTTCCTTTCATTTTTGTTGGGCGTTTTTGAGAACTTTTTGCCCTTCATTACGGCTCCCAAGCGTGAGTCAGACTCTTCTGATCTTTTTACGTCTTAGACTATGATGTCACCACTGTGTTAGTGTACTTGTGTACAGTATGTGAGTTACGAATATTGAATTACTTCGCACCACAAGAACGGAAATCCGACATAAGTCGAGGACCACCTATACTTCTCAGGGACTTAGGGGGAACCAGTAACCAATCCCAGTTGTTATCAGGCAAGTGGACGATAAAACAAAGTTACAACATGCAAACTACTATGAGTTAGAGTGTTTAAACATATGCACATTTAGCTTCAAGACTACCAACTGTGTGGCCGACACTGACAAAAATAATAATAATAATAATAATAATAATCTAATGCACTGTAAGACCAAGGTATTCAAAGACAGATGTGTGGACCACTGTGTGAGGCCACACCTCCATCTTCAGCAGTCACCTTGACATTTGTTTCCACAGGAGAAAATTTGTGAAAAGAAAAGGAGTTTTGACTTCATCTCCATTGTTTCTTCCTTTGAGAAACTAATAGAAGCATCTGTATAAAAAAGTGAAAATGTCATCCCTGCTGCCCTTTTCTTTTAGTTACCTCAGTTCTTTATTACCACTCTGTGGTTTATGTGTGTCTGCACTCAGAATGACCCCAGAGCCAACAGATACTGTAGTACTGATTAAACTTCTTTGTACTGATGAAGGGCCCAGAGTGCTGCAACCCTAATGTTGTCCTAAACCCAGTTGGTATTGCTTCAGTAGAGGCGTCTGTTGCACTAAAAAGAGATTCCTCTTCTTCTTTTCAACTCACTGACGGTTGGTTAACGTTACAGTGTGTAACATTTCCAGCAGCGTTTTATTCCAGATGATTCGAACTGACAGCACTTCTCCTCGCGCTGACCTTGAAAGTCAAATGTGCTGAGTGTAAATCAATGGTTTTTTTAACAGTGTGAAGCTTGAGCGCAGCCACACAAATAAGTACGCCCTTAAAAAGGTTGATGATACAGTATAAATTTACTGCTTGTGTTCGTGGGGGTTACGTTGTTCCTGAAAGAGCAACCTTAGGTTTACAAGTCTGGAGCAGCATGGCTCTAGACGAGAGCACACACAACTGTGAGTACTGATGGAATCTGCTAGTACTGTGTTGACGTACAAGGAATTCAGACTGTGCGTATCTGATGTAAACAACGCTGGTTTGAAAATACGCAGAGGGCCCTGAACAGATACTGGGTGCAGTCGATTTGAACTGGGACTGTTGAAATGAATGCGTTAATCACTTAAATTACTTTGTGAATAGTAATCTGATTACAATTTTAACTAATGACCTTCACTTTACGTCCAATAATTCCTTCGTCTCCTCATTTATCGTTGTTCTAACACACAGTCAGTACACCCGTTATTATTTACACACACTGCAGGCGTTAAAAACACCCTCTCATCCAACAGAGGCTTCAACTTCCAGTCGGTTGTGTCGGACCAGCCTCGTCGAGCACAGGGCAGTTAATGAGTTTACGGCTGACGAGCTGACAACTGGATTGTTAGGGACTGTTGGCTCATTAATAACTTTGAGGACAACAGCTTCAGCAAAGTTTTGAAAGCAACTCTCGCCTCGCTCTAGAAGCAACGGTTTGGATGAACAGATGCATGATGACTAAAATCCACTGACTCTGTCAGAAAACCTCTACATAGTTATTACATTTTTTTCAGTAAGATTTAAGTTGTACGTAGTTGTATGTAGTTGTTTAGCTACAATTAAACTATCTACCTGCTGTTATTTGTCTTTCTGTTCCGGCAATATACAGAAAAAACATTATTGGTTATATTAAACTGTGATGATTTAACACGAATAATCAGGGGTTGCCCTGGCAACCCCTGAAAATCACAATTAATTACAATCAATATTTTTTGATGAATAATCACGAATAATTGTACTTGTGACTAATCACAATTGTGATGGATCATGATTAATTGCAATTGTGATTAATGATGAATAATCACAATTATTACACTTGTGATTAATCATGATTATTCACGACTAATTACAATTGTGATTAATCATGACTTATTATACTGTGATAAATCATGGTTAATCCACAGCTACCCTGTGATTTTTCTGATTAAAAGTTCCAATTGATTGACAGCCCTAATTAAAACATAATACAGGTCAGAGTACGACCTGGAGTCGTACAACAACCAGAAAGTGGTTTTCAGCCCCAGGTGGCGATACTGTAATTAGACTCTGTAACATGCAGTGTAACAGCACAGCGTCAATCTCAAAGTCCTGAACTAAAATGGCACTCATTGTCCCAGATGTGCACAGAAATATGAACGAGAACCAAATATCCTCCAGGTTCCCTCCACCCTCTGGTTTCATCTCCACCCTCAAATCGCAACACCAACTCAGCAGTCCGGTCCAGAGACTGGGACAAAAGACGCATTTATAGCAGCAGGTTCAGGGTGGCTGCCAATAGACAATGGACACATTCTTCAGCTTCTCAAACACGTAGCTGTGTGCAGGCTGTCCTGCTGCAGTGGACAGAGGGGCAGCAGCAGAGACAGAGGTGAGGGGTTTTTATGCCGAGGGTTTGGCTGCTGGGCCAAGATAAATCAGCAACAGCAGAGTGTGTCTGTCCTAAAGCTCGGGTCGTGATCATGACATGTTGACAGGATTAGTGTGGCTACTGATTCTTCTAACCTACTATATATTGATTAAACTATCTTTAGTTGGCAGTAATTAACTTTTAGCTGTTTTGGGGCGTATTTAATTTAACATTGACAATTCAACAAATTCAATTCAACGAATAGTTTTCGTAACTGTCTTACATTGTCTGGTTAAAAACCTGGGAATTTCATTTATTTGAGTCTAGAAACTATAGATATTCTTGTCTTAAATCCAACATTATATCCAATAATAATACCTCCATTTGTATTTACCGTCACCGTATGACACATAACTACATAAAAGAGAGTAAAAAAAGGTGAGTCAAGGTGGTCAGGGGTGCTGCTGTGAAATCCGCCGTCATCCAGGAATTCCAAATCTCTGATGAAGCGTCAGCTCTCACAGTGTTCCGTTCAGCGGTCTCACGGTATCGGTACCGAGGTGCTCTCTGTGCACATTTATATATATATATATATATGTCATTTATATGGGCTGCGGTGGCTTATAATGTGTTTTATAGGCCTGTCTGAGATAACAGTGCAGTCATTACCACATTAGTGTTCCAGCTGGAGTCAGGCTTTACAACAACAGGGAGACATATTCTACAGAGACCGTTCACACAGAAACATGTCGGACAAATGTGAGACGCGTACCCAGCACAGAGTGTGAAACACTGATGACATATGGTGGGATTTAAAGTGTACCACTAGGAATGGAGCGGTTATTAATTGCGACTATTTTAACTAGAACTTAAAGCTAACCTTTGAGCATATTTCTAGCTAATACTCTGCAAACTGTAATGTCTTTTTGCTGCTATTGCTCATACATACATAGAGATTAAAGTAGCTTTGCCTGCCTCGGGAGTATCATTTGGCTAACGTTATTCATTTGGCTAACATGTATTTGAGCCTTTAAAATTTTAAATATTTGTATTATTAGTTTAACCTTAATTTTTCTTTTATCTGTTTGTTTGGTTGGTTTTTATTGCTAGATTTTGGCTTTTTCTTTGCAATGTTTTTATATATCTAACTTAACATTTGGCTAATTCCTCAGCTCTATTTCTATCTTAGCTGGTTTGTCATATTTTCTGAACCTCTACACTATGTCCAACATACTGTATGGACCCCATTTATTTTGGACATTTTTTAATTTGCACTATTTGTGGAAAAATCAATGCCTTTTTTTTTCTTAGCTTCTCCTGGGTGTTGGTCAGATGAGAATTGACCAACTGATGGTTGTATCTGTTTATGTTTCTCTCAGATGGACCCTGTCCAGAAGGCGGTGATCAACCACACATTTGGTGTCCCCCAGCCCCTCAAGAAGAAACAGATCATCTCCTGCAACATTTGCCACCTGCGCTTCAACTCAACCGTAAGAGATTCTCTTTATGTTCTCTGCCTGTCTGCTAATGGGAGCCATGCAGAGGTTATGAAAAGGACAGTAACAGGGAGAGAGAGAGAGAGAGAGAGAGAGAGAGTGTTTTACCAAAAAGTCGTCTTTGCCTCAAAGCTATTTTCTCAAATGTTTATTTTTAAAACCTGTTCCGCAAATACCCGTAGAGCCCTTATGTGTCTCAGTGACTTATTTGATTCCCCTATAAAACGTGTCTGTTTACGCTGGTGCTGCTTTCTTTTATGCAAATTGGTGTAACTTCAAATACGTCAAATCAAATGTTAGCTTTAAGATGCAATCAGAGATGCAATCCAATAGGCAGCATTTTGACACACACGCACGCACGTACGTCCCATGACATTTGAAGGCGCATTAACAAAAATAAAAGCCAAATAAAACCCTGAAGACGAGTCATCGTTGTAACCGTGACTCAAAACCACACACAGACACACACAGAGGTAAAAAAAAATTTAAAACGAAGACTGAGTCACCAGGGACAAGAGGCCTGCAGACAAGCAACTGTCATTGTCTTCTTTCACAGCACAGCGACATCAGCACAAGTGTCAGGCCCGAGTGTGGCTTTATCTGATACTTTCGGAGCGTCACTACATTTCCGACTCCTCCGTGAACCCACCCTGGACTCTGTTCGCGTATTACATCACCGTGGTTACGTGAAAAAGTCACTGGAAGGTCAAGCTTCACAAGTGTGAAGTGTATCTTAATCTTAATGAAGACTAATGTAGAAATTGTATCAGTTCTGCTGTCCGTGCTAGAGGCACGTGTGTTAAACTCGAGGGCCGGGGGCCAAATACGGCCCACCAAGTCATTCTGTATGGTCCGTGGGAGCTTAGAAAACATTTAATAAAGTCTATGCAGCACTGTTTCTTAACCTGATAAATTGAAGTTATTAAGGTTTTTTTTATTATTCTTTTCCGTTTTTAAGCTAGGTGCAGCAATTTTTTGGGGGGGGGTTAAGCCTTTAGTCTCGAACATCAAAGAAATTTGTTTTTCTCTGTAGAGAAAGACAAATTTCAGTGGCTGCTAAAATAAGCACTTTTACACCTTGCGACCATAACCGTGTCCACCCGATTTAGCCTAGTGTTTATTTTAGTTTATTTTCGAACAGTGTTGGAACGGCCCTCAATCATCAGAGCGATCTCGGTACACCACTGTTTCCTACTGTAGTCGTGCCGGCTGTAGTGACGATGTGAAAACCAATCCTCATTTCACACCTTGTTCCTCTGCCTCCGCTGAGACCCACTTGTGTTTAGAGTCTGGTGGTGGAGAAGGAGTCACCTGAGTTTCTCACTTCACACAAATCTCTAAAGCCTTGTCATGGCAGATCAGCCACAATTTGGTTAGTTTTTCCAGAAGCTTCAGAGCTATTTTTAGGCCCACAGTAGAGTCTGTGTAGTATGTTAGCGTCTGAATGTTTCACTGCATGATGTTTGGTGTCTGTGTGGAGTTTTGTGTGTTTGTAGTAGAGTAGAGTAGTATATATTTATAAGAATAGATATAAATATATATCTATAAATAGATCGATATATGGTATAAAAAGTTAAGTAGCTAACAGTTAGCTTTGTTGTGGGAACCCTTTGTCTTTTGCTTGTATCGCAAATCATTTTTTCCCATAAGAAATAACGAAGTTGATGACCACGTGAATTGAACGGGTGAGGGCAAGGGTATAAATAACGGTTAGGCAAACGTTTGTACTGGTTAATGTTAGGATAAGAGGTTAGGAAGTCCCATACCTCAACTCAAAGTACACAATACGTACTTTAAATAGTCTGCAGTAGTAACATAATTGTCCAGCAGAGGGTGCACTAAATGGAGCCTGGAGGATGTGAGAAGCAAAATAATTATATATAACTCCTCAAAGAACTGAAGAAGTCAAGAACATTTCCGTGTTTGTCTTCCTGTCTGATTAATAATCAGCGTACTGGGTGTGTGTGTTTAGCTTTCTCCAGGCCAGAAGAACTGTCATGACGAAAAAAAACATTTCAGAAATAGTGAATATTGGGCCCTAAAGCTTTGTAAGAACCTAGAATAAACAGCTTTTTTCTGCCTTTGTACTTTTGTATAATGAATGTGCTACTGCTTTAGCAGTAACCCGCAAAGTGAAGCTGATGAAAGAAGATGTTTTGTATGCAGGCGGTTCCCTGGTGGCCCATATCGCTTTTCTAAAGGTCAAGCATATTACATAAAAATTCCCAGAAGTCATTTTTTTAATAATATGGCAGCTCTTGTGTCTTTACCTATAACTTTGTACTTTTCTGGTGATGCAGGACAAACAGTATTTTTCGTATAAATTGCTTATGAGACTGGATGTTGTGTTGATGCTCGGTAAACAAGAGAAATCCACATCTTCATTTCATCGTCTAATTCAAAGGAGCTCACTGTTTCTAAGTCCTTCTGTGCCACTTTAGTCTTCACTCAGGAGTTCTTCAGAGCAAAGTTCCGTGTCCGTGTACACACGAGTTTTCTGGTCCCTGACGATTTATGTGATGATTTCCTCGAGGCGGTTAAAGTGGATCAGAGCTCCCGTCTGAACGAATGCTTCTTACCTCGGTCCTCTTGTCAAAACACACACGCAGCCCCGGTTAAACAGAGGAATGCTGTGTTATTGACCGCACACTATTTGAGCTGGTACAATATCACAATATTTATTTTTGTTTTATTGTTTCTTTGACATATGGTCCTTAGGTTATATTAAGGATCTAAACACAAGAGCTAAGTCTGTTCTATATACAGTAGCTGTGATCTAAACATCAGAGACAGACAGGAGTGGAGAAACAACTGACGTCCACAGAAGATCTCTGATGTGTTCTAGATGTTTGGACCTGTTCTAATTTTAAACCAGTGAAGGCCATTAGAACAAAATGGATTTTGTGTGTTTTGGAATTTGGGCTACACAGATAAAATACATTTCACTTGAGTTGACCTAGCATCTGAGCTCTTTTAAAAAAATGCGTACACCTGTAAATACATGTTGGTCACACCAAACAGCGGAACCTCGATTGTCGAACGCTTCACTTTTCGAAGAATTTGGTTCACGAAAAAAAATCTTTAACCAAAAATTGCCCCGGTTTTCATTCCATAACAAGAGACAATGTGAGTGTCTGCTTGGTGCTAAAAATGTTGGCTGATTTTGTCGGTATTTCTTGAAATATTTCGAAGAAAGTTAGTGGCAACAATAGAAACGAAGAAACATTATACGAAAGCATGAGAGTGGCGCTCGTCTTTCAGGTCTGGCTTAGCAAAGTCATCGATTTGTACCATCATTAAGAACAAGGAAGCAATAAAAGAAGCTAAGGTTGCCAAAGGAGTGACTGTGATCACCAAGCAAAGATCTCACACGTTAGAAGAAGTGGAATAGTTGCTATTGATATGGATAACGAACAGCAGTTGGTTGGCTACAGTATTTCAGAGACAACAATTTGTGAGAAAGCTAAGCGAACATTTTGCGCAACCACGACTCCTCAGCACCTGTTAGGATGAATGAAACGCATTTCCTATTCATAGCTTTATTCTTTATTCAGTTTTATGGTAGATTCAATCGTCATTGGTTTCGTGTATGAACTTGTTCACAAAATACTGTTGAAAAAAGATGAATACGCAGATGTCCAGGATCCACAAACGGATTATTCCATTTTACATTGATTCCTGTGGGGAAAATTGTTTCACTTTTCAAACTTTTTGGTTAATGAACGGCCTTCAGGAACAAATTAAGTTCGAAAACTAAGGTTCCACTGTATTCATATATAATAATCAGAGTAAATCTCTACTTCCTCCATCTACAGTTGGCTTCTTCTATCTACCCAGAGCTGATGAGGTGCTAACCCTTTAGAGTCGTTTAACTTTTAGTAAATAATCTTTGTATTGATCTCTGTGGTATTTCCATGTACCTGCTGTAGGCCAGTTCTGACAACTTGTTCTGCAAGAAATCCAGGCTCGGATTCAGTTAGAATAATTGAAATACGAAGGTCAGATGCGATTTACACAGTGTGAGTTTAAAAACTGCTGTCAGTCGAAGGCTTTGTTTTGTTTTTTTCCCGATTCAGATTCTGAGTTTGTATGCAGATGACGTACTGTTCCTGTCAAACGCGTGTCACGAGTTGTTCTCTTCCACATGTCTATGATTTTCCAGAGCTTGACTCTGACGATGCAAATCAATAGGGCAGCGTTGGAGATCGAATCCTCTCTCTTCTTACATTTTACATATGCAATTATACCTCTGGCCTGACGGTGCGGCGGTGCTGTTATCAGGAGAAAACAGACTTGCTGTCTAACATGCCTGCAAGAGAGCACGTATGCAGACGTCCGTTTTAACATTTACTGCACGTGTTCCTTTGGTCCCCGGCAACCCAGACTGTGATGTGTTCTTTGTGCGTGCCATTCTGAATCTGTGTTTCCTATTGTTTGCCCCACAGAACCAAGCTGAAGCCCACTACAAGGGCCACAAGCACGCCAGGAAACTCAAAGCCATGGAGGCCCAGAAGAACAGGCACCGACGATCTGGTGAGGCCTCGAACATGGGCCGAGATAGAGACAGAGATCGAGACAAAGAGCGAGAGAGGGATCGGAGCAAGACGTCGTCGTCAGAGACAACTCTCCCTGCACTGATGGACGCAAGCGTGGAGGATGGAACAGGTTTGTACAACAGAAAGTAGCATTGAGCAGCAATCTGTCTGTGTCAGAGCAAGCCTCGGTTTCCCCCTTTTCCCAGAAACCTCTTCATTTGTCCAAATTACCTGTGGTTCTTCCTCCTGGTCTCGCTGCATCTCACTGTCACTCTGCTCTTTTATGCCACACCTTGGGATTAGATTGTCCGTACACATTGTCTTATCCAGACAGAGAGTCCCACTCTGCATTCACACCTCAGCGTTTCCCGTCTCTTTCCGTCCAAACTCAAGCCAACTCTCCGTCTCTACGTCCCCGTGCCTCGTGACAAATGGACACCTCTGAAGCTTTGGGATTGTGGGATACCTCAGAATGAGAGATGTCGGATAAATAAAAAAAGGGCTGGCTGAGATTGGAAGGAACCTCACTGGGATAGTTTTTAATAACTTTGACTTTTTTTCCCATCACTCTGTTCAATGGGCTGTCTATCTCAGAGAGGTGACGGTAAAGTCGCCATCTATGTCTGTACTGGATGGACATGCTATAAATATATATAGACCACATATCGAAAAGCAAAGCAAAAATTATAAACACACATTTAGATATATAAAATATACAGTAGTAGCGCTGTCAACCGATTATGAGTAATCGCAGGGTATCAGATGATTCAAATCATGATTAATTGTGATCAGAGTAAGATTGAACAGAAGTAGTAACAGTGCGGAATAGAAATAAAAAAGAGAGAGTACAATCTTTGGCACAGCAAAAGAACCTTTTGAGGCTTTGAACCTAACTTTTTAAATGTTAACATTTGGTGCTAACCTCAGTTCAGCTGAGGCGTGTATCGGATTCTTTTTCCATCAGCGACTGTAAGTGTAAACCTTAGATTACGATATTTTCTCTCCATTCCCTCCATATGTTTTATCTTAAAAATAATACATTTTTATAATAATAATAATAATAATAATAATAATAATAATAATAATAATGATCATAATAATAATGATAAATAATGAATAATTAAAACTCTGTTATAAACATATATGGCTAAAAAAATATTTAAAATGTGGATGAAACCTTATCGAGTTTTTGGTGCATTTTCTTTTTTTATTATTTGATTAAAAGCACAAAAGCTAAAACCGCTGTTATGCAGATGACACACTGCTTGCATGTGTCAGTTCCACCACAAATGTTTGGATTATAAACCACTATAACTGCTTTAGTAACACCTAAAACAGAAAGTAATAATATTAGTTTCAGTCTATTTGGATCTTCTGCCCTAACCACAATCCCCAGCACCACACCCTGTACCTTTTGTAAAATATTTAATACCAGGTCGGTAGTAAAGAAGGAGGTAGAACTTTTCCATAGCTCCAACTTTAACTCACTGAACACGAATCACTTCAAAGGGTATTTGAATGCCTGGTGAGACCATTTAGTCCTCATCCTTCACTCCGAACCCTTTTATTTCTCTATCCAAGGTTAGGTGGACAACTGAACTATTTCCTTCCTCCTTCCCTCTCATCTTCAGGCAACCCTCTGGACGAGATCACTATCTGGACAGAATTTCAAAATGCTCTCGGATGCTGTTTGAAATGTCAGAGAACAGAACTAAAGGTTGCCGGAAAAAAAAAAAAAAGAAGCCAGGTTAATTCTCCCTCACAAACATTTAGTTAGTCCGGCAGTGCGGACTGAGAGTCTCCTTCGGAATGGAGAAAGTGGACAAAAGACTCGGACTCTGATAATGCTCTCATCAAATCTCATTTTAATACTCTTTGCTGTTGCAAAGGAGAGCCCTGAAAGCAGCAGCAGGCCAAATGAGATGATGAGCTGAAAATGAAAGATAAGATGAAATGAATAAAGGAGACCGATGGAGGGGAGAGGGAATAAAAGAGAACTGAAGAAAGAAGGGAAGTGTCGGCAGGGAGAGAGAAAATACATCAGTCACAGATAGTTTTGTGCCGTGAATAATTTTACACTTTCAAGGCAATTTTGTGAAGAGGAACTCTCTTTTAATAATCCCAATTGTGTGATTCTCCTGATGTGAAATTGAAACGCAGCAGTGCGAGCCAGGGCTGAACGCACGACAATGCCAACCTGGAATAGAAGAGCGCTCCAAATTAACACTCTATGAAATGAGTTGTGTCTGCCATGAAACTGAAGAGCTGGTGGGGAGCTGTGTGAGGGTAACAGTCGTAATATCTGTCGTTGAACACTGATAACCGATAAGTGTCTGCTGTACGTGTGTCTCAAAACACAGAATAGAACAACTTCAGTTCATAGGTACAGATCCAGGAAGCTGCTATCATTCAAATTCATATTTTAACTTGGAAGTAAATTCTAAATTAAATTCTTTCTGAGAACATTCAGCCAATTTCAATGCATATATATATATATTTTTTTTTTCCGTTTCCTCTCCATCTCTAACAAACCTTTACTTTATTAAAATATAGACTGAAGGTCATCGATTATTAGCATATTTGACAACAAACGCCTGCTGTACTATAGCACTGAGTGAAAGGGGCAGCGGGGAGAAATTTAAAAAAGTGATTGGACCAGCTCTGTGTCGGTCGAGATATCAACCAATGAGCCGTGATAACACCTGAAGTGGAAGTGTTTATAAATGTGATTTGTCCAGCCCAGTGTCAATCGTGCCAGTCAGACAAGTACATAAATGGATGGGTGATGGATGGATGGATGGATGGATGGATGGATGGATGGATGGATTGATTGATTAAGGATGTTGGAAATGTGGAAAGATGGAAATATGCATGCCCAGTGGCCAGTCCATATATTTCCATATAATACAATATACAGTAGATTATATTTTCCGTTCACTCACTCCCATCATTTCCAACTGTGTTATTTAAGGTTTTTTTGGTCGACTTCTCTCTGCTCATGAATAGCTGCTTGTCATAGTAAAGATTTCACTTCTGCTGCTTTCATTTCCTCTTTGAAGAATCCTGCGCACTTTATCAATGAGTCAGTGAGACCGCTCAGTCTCTGTTCCTGTGGCTTGACATGCAGTCAGTCAGCTACTCCCCACCATAAACCAGTGTGTTACTGCGCATTACACAAATTCTGAACAGCAAGAATGTCCATTGATTCTCACTCTCCGCATTCAACATCAAAACCAATTATTCAGGAGCGTAAACAGGAAACAGTTTTCACCCCCATTTTACCGCACAAAGGGACGGATGTTTATAAAGCGCGTCCCGGCGACGACGTGAGCTGAGCGGAGCAGACACAATAAAGAGTAGGAAAGCAGATAGGCCAGAGCAGGGAGACAGAGGCTGTGACAAAGCATCAGTCACCTCCAGCTTTGATTGACTCGGCTGTTGGAACCCCGGGGACTCTGCCTGTCATCACAGTCATGATGATTTAGGGCGAGGGTGTTTTACTCAGTGGGAGTTGTTTGTTTCTGGGGCTGTCTTGAATCAGTGTTCACCTGCTCAACCTCGTGTCTGTCTGTGATTGTCAACTTGTGCATAATGGGCCAGACAAACTTTTTGTTGTTGTTGTTGTTGTTTGTTTGGCTTTGAGTAAAGTTGTCTCTGGATTGGGCTGTTGAACTGCGACAGGTTTAGGATCTTAAAGACGGTCGGAGTCGGCTGGACTGTCCAACGATGGTTGTGCCATCCACAAAATTGACACGTACGTCGGTCATTTGATGGAATAAGAATTACAGATTACAAATTTAAATTTATATATTATATATTTTTTAAATTTTTTATAAAAAATAATCTTTCCTTCTTATATAATGAACTATGAAACTGATTCTACAGTCACACTAGCTAGCTTTTTGTTAAGCATAACAGTGCTTTTCCAATCAGTTCTAGAGCACTTGATTTTTTGAAGTTTCATTTAGCTTACTCATAGCTAAGTCTTTTATTAACTTTAAGCTGCTTTTTTTTGGGTGGGGGGGGGTAATACACAATGTGTTTTAAAGCCAGTTCTAAAATAGATTTAAGGAAACACAAGGCAAATTGTTTAGCTCTTTATGTGGTAACTTTGAGTTAATATTAATCTTGGCTAAAGACAAGGAAAAAAAACAACTCACGGCTTATTAATTAATTCTATTTTTTTTTTTTTTGTGTGGCTGTTTTGGAACTAGTAACTGGTCTCTTAATAAAGAGTTTCCTGTTCCTCTAATAGCATTTAGCTAAGATAACAACTGCCTGATGACAACGATAATCAGTAGTTTTACTAGTTACTGTATGCTAACGTGAGCACAAAGAAAAACCAGTTGTAGCCAGTTTCTTCAATAAACAACATCTGATAAAGATCTGTATCGTTCGTTTGTGCTGCCATTCGTAAGAAATGATCAAGGTATTAGCCACTATAGAAATCAGGACAGACGGGGAACAGAAATGCCCCTGAATGATGTTCTCCGTGGTCCAAGCTTTTAGATTATTGGATGGCTTCGGTTTTGTCTTCTTCCATATACTCTCGGCCCTAATCCGTAGATGAGTATCTGCTGCCTCTAGGGGCGTCTCAGGTTGGGCTATCGTTCACATAAGCTGGAGATCGTACCTGCTCTTCGTGCACCAACAAAGGAACATAAATTCCTCTAGGGTCACACTCATTACAGTGGGAGGGGATTGTCTAATCTTACTCCTATAGAGTTTTTTCTTCTTAAGCTGGAATGAGAGGGGAACAGCCTTATCTCCTACAATTAATTTACCCTGGGACATAAAGGGAAAAATCAATAGGGCGCAGTGGCTTTGAGCGAGGCTTGTGTTCAGGGAGACAGTGCAGTAAATGAAACTGAGATGTTTGGTCTGTGTCTCTCTGGGGAGGGCAGTGACTCTACAGAAATCCAACTCCAGTAACATGGCAATGAATAGCTCTGTTTACATAGACAGACATCATGGGCCTGTTTGATATTTAAATTGTAGTAATGAAGCTGATAATCTAAAATTAAAAACTGGGACGAAGTCGTGGGTCAAACTTGATATTTATTGAAGAATTGACAGCAATTGTGCATGTTTTTCCTTCTCTCCATATATGGGATGTTGATTTGTTTTTATGGGAATTTTAATTTTGTATAAATATTCAATCTGGAGCAACCAAGGCTTAATATTATAAACAGCAAAATCTTATTACGTCTCTTTATCTGTAGCATTCCCAGTTCCTTTTTAATGTAAATCTTTTTTTCACAGGCTAAAAAAACTAAATATATGTGCTATAATATAGCGCATACACTGCTAATACTGCAAATCCTGCCAGTATATAGCGGCTATATACTGGTGGGCTAACTCTAGTACACATTTGATATGATCTTGCGGGCCAAATATAATTACAATGTGGGCCAGATTTGGCCCCCGGGCTTGAGTTTGACCCGTGTGATCTAAAGAGTCAAAACGTTTGTCTGCAGTACAATACCGACGAAAGTGTTAGGCAATTTTCACTGCACAAAATGCATGTTATGTTTGCATGTTATGCAAATGTTATGCAGTAAAAACAATTTTGAAAAAAAAAATTTAAATGTATTTCTACAAAACAACTCCAAAAACTCATATGTACACATCCATGTCCCTATCCACATTGCTATCGGGAAGTTTTTTCATATTTTTCACAATGTATCTTCTGTTAATGTTAGCATCATTGCATCATTTGGCTGGCAAACTTTCGATGCATTGCCGCCGCCTACTGGGCTGGAGTTTGTGCATGCATCAATGTTACAGGTGTGCCAGAAATTAATTGAAAAAGACATTTTTGAAAACATAATTGAAAAAGACGTCATGTTACGCCTACGTTACATGAACTTTAGTCAGGCTCTCAGATATTCTTTCTTTTCATCCAGGTCTCCAAATGGACCTAGAACCAGTCAGCCTGGAGACAAAACTGGAGGAGACTCCCAGGAGCTCTGTCATGCTGACTCCAGTATCAGAGGTCTCCTCTGTGGAATTGGTCAGCCTTTCCCCTCCTCAGATTTCACCTTCCTTACAGCTCTCTGAAACAGCCTCAGACACCAGTGTGGCAGACGTCCCAGAGGCAGCCGAGGTCACAGGTCTGACTACTGAGCCGGGCAGCCAGGCTGACACGTCCAGCACATTCGGGGAGACACATACAGATGAGGATAAGGATCCCAAAAAGAGCAAGGCTCACCTCCACTGTCCTGTCTGCAAAGTGACGGTCAACTCCGTCTCCCAACTTGAAGCACACAACAGCGGTAAAAGAACATTTTCTTGTTTATGTGTCACCCGTGTTGGTTTCATATCAAATAGAAGCCTGCTGGTTATATTCCCCTGACCTGTCACCTGTGTGCTGCCTCCACCAGGCACCAAGCACAAACTGATGCTGGAAGGTCACAGCGTTCTGCCTCGACGCAGAGGGAAGGTAGTCGCGGCTCGTGCTGGCTGTAAAAGCAAGAGGCTCGGAACGAAAGGCAGCGTCGGTCTCCCCAGCAAGAACTTTCAGTGTGAAGTGTGCGAGATCTTTGTCAACTCTGAAACACAACTGAGCCAGGTAAAAATTACGAACGGTGCACAGGAGACTTTAGCGTAAAATATGGTACACAAGAACTAATAATCTGTAATCTGTAATACAAGGATATCAAATTGCTGGACTAAAATGACCTGCAACATTTCTCATTTGCCACCAGGCCAGGACATAGTTATTGTCAGTACTAGCTTGTGCTGTGTTTGTCTTTCAGCTTTTATTGATTCTGGCTAATTTTTTTTTCTAATATTTTTGTTTTTTTGGCTAATTTAAAACAAAAATGAAACCTCATCTTAGATAATACATTTTTAACTTTTTTAAAAAAAATGTATACATTTCTTGATAGGTCTTTATAATACATTATTTGGCTATTTTGACTACCCTAAAATATTTATCTTTGGTAGTGTTTTAACCTTTTTTTTAACTTTTAGCGATACATGCAATATTTTGCTATGTAAACTAAATCTTTTTTTTGGTAATGTCAATTTGTATTTATATAGATATGTGTCCGAACTGTGTTTCTTTAGAAATATGAAGTAACCTGATCAACAAAACTATTAAAAACCCACTCTATGTGTACAGTACAGAGCCTGTATACACAGTACAGCACATCGTGAGATTAGGGGTAGAATATATATAAGTTATGAGAATACTGCAGAATGCTTACACATACACAGTATAACACAACATTAATATGTATGTGGCAAAATAAAAAAAAGTTTTTAAAATATTAAACGAATACAACAGGGATTTACAGGGATTATAGTTTTCATTCAGGGATTTCCTGCCTTTGAGAAGCGGCGCCTATGGAGAAGTATTTCGAACTGAAATGGATTTGTTTAAGGAGCTCAGAGGTAATGTTGACTGTGCTCTCAGGATAAAACATAACTGACGGTGCAGTAAAATGATGCATTCAATTGCCCCCACCTCCACAAACAGATGGTAGGACTGGAGACTTCATTAACAAGCGGCGCTGCCTCCACTGCTCTTGTAATTTGCTCTGCTGATATTATAAATAAATATAAAATATTGTAACATAAACTGAACTGTCCTGTAAAGAACCCGTTTTAAAAAACAACATAAAATGGTTAAATAAAGGTTTTAGAAGCCCTCGGTCAAATTAAAGGCCGTGTTAAAGGCCAGAGCAGCAGAGTTTCACCTTAGACTGATGTCATCTGTGGAGAAATTATCAAAGTTTGATTTGACAAGTTTTTATTTACTAACGATTCCTGTATGGATGTTGGCGAAAGGTGTCAGTTGACATCAGTATGTCGGTTTAATGATGAAAAGTGCTGGTACAGATATAGGAGGAGGTCAGGAGTGGCTGAAAAATACATGAGAGTGGTGTAGTACGTGTGGAGAAAGTTTTTCGGTGGTGCTTAACAAATTTACACTGACTTTTCTCTCTCTCTCTCTCCACCGTGTGAACAGCACATGAACAGCAGACGGCACAAAGATCGGCTGGCAGGAAAGCCTCCCAAACCCAAATTCACCCCCCACAGCAAGAACCAGCCGAGCTCCAGCTTAGCGGTAAGACTTAGCATACACTCTGCATACACTGGTGGATGTAACTGCAGACACAAGAGAAACAGAGTATTTTAATGCTGAAATAATGTGTGCTCATGAAACTGACATGGATTTTCAACTTCACTCACTCACACTCTCACACACACACACACACACGTACTGTATATATTCATATCTCATTATATTGTGCCCAGGGCTCTTGTGTCTTGTGTTTCTGTCTTGTCAGGGAGGTCAAGCACTGTGTTGTTCTCATTGTGTCCCCTCCCCCTGAGACAGGTTCTAAAATAGTCCCCAACTGACCAGCTCTGACAACAGCAACAGCCTGAATCAGCACTCCAGATTAATCACTGCTCTGCTCCTGTCATATGCCTCCTCCACCACCCCCCCCATCTCCCCTATATATCCTGCACCACCACCCCCCATTCCCTTTCCCTTTCTCTCCCACCTCCATTCTACAGAGCGTGAGGTGGAGTGGCTATGCTGGCGTAGCTGTGTCGGCCATGAAGAAAGTCTTCAGCCAGCACAACCTCACTTCCCTCTCCTCACAGGTCAGTGGCAGGACAGCCTGAGGCTGGGCTTGGATTGGAGGATGGCTTTAGGGCCTGGGTCAGGGTCAGGGGTCAGGGGTCAGAGCAGAGATGATGAAGTGATCATTGTTTATTTTTATTTATTTATATTTTATTTATTTATTTTATTTGACTGAAACTTTTGTTTAACAGCAGACTAAAACGAACACTTAGCTCCACATAGGCTAACCTTTTCTTCTGATTCGCTGGACTTGTCTTTTCAGCAGATTTGAACTAAATTACTAATTGAATCAACATTAAAGTGTGAAGTAGCCTAATTTAAATTTAACTTACTCGACAACTTATCAAAATATGGAATTTTATATCCCGTAATACTGACCCTGACCGTAGTAGATGGAAGTACCTCCCTACTGTAATGTTTACATTAGCCTAGCCTGAAGGACAATGAAAAAAGCTAGTTTTCTGCTGCTGCCATAATTTAAAAGAAAATGTTAGTTTCATAAACGTGGCTCCTCACTGTGTCCCTCTCTCCTGTTGTCCCCCCCTGTCCCCCACTCCCCTCTCTCCCCTGTACTCTGCAGACCAAGCTGGCCTTGCAGAAGCAGCTGGCCAAGAGCTTGACAGCCGGCTTCCTGCCCAGCCCACTCACTCAAACAACCCTGTGCACAGTTGCAGCTAACCCACTGGCTCTGCGTCACACGATGGGCACCACCGCCTTCATCCAGACCCCCTTCCTGGGCCCTGCACTGTTCCGGCCCGCCCCAGGTCCACTGCGGACCACCCACACACCCATTCTCTTCTCCCCTTACTAAACACATAACTTTGTTCCCATTCCGACTCCTACTTCCTACGTCCCCTCGCCAAACACCCAGGCCCGACCTTAGGTGTGACCCACATGACATGGCCACACTCAAACTATGCAGCCCACCTGACTTAACATGGAAACAGTGTACGAGCTGGAATCAGCCATACGGTCTACAGTAAGAGCTGTTCCAACCATAAAGGCCAAGAGCTCCCGTCATGCCTTCGTTCTGCTCCTCCCACTCCAACCTGAAGGGGCACTGCAGGCCTCCAGACATTGACTGGTGCACAGAGGCCACTTTTATAGCCATTTCATGGGTCAACATGGATTGGATTATGGATATAGTTGTGTATTTATTAGACAGAAAATAGAGACCTAACCTAGATGTACCTTTAGTGTGGTTGGCACAAAATGAGGTCCCTTTACTTGATGCTCTTTTCTAATGTTTTTTTTAACTTATTGGTATGATGGGTATGAGAAACTGGGTATTCATTATAAAGTAGGTCATTAAATCCACTGAGATTACACAAATATATAGGTGGAAAAGCCAGGCTCGTCAAACTAACAGGATTACCTAAAGCCGTGTTGTTGTATCTGGAATTTGATCATTATGAAACACTGTTTCCTTCAGTATTTTATCAGTGTCTGCCCTTTAAATGTTAGAAACATTTCTAAGGCGAATATGCATCCTTTTTGATGCCAGTATGTACAGTATTTCATGAAGACAAGTGGGCACCGTCGTCATCCCACCCTGTGCCCTCATTGTGTCACGTTGCCATGGCGGGGATAGCCCTCCCTCCTACAGCGTAGCAGTGTTGGACGGCCACCCGGCAAAGTAACGACTCTGACACTCAGAGCTGCACGGAGCCGTCAGACGCCCCGCAGCACGACCTGCAGAGAGGGCCAGCCCATCATCGTTTTTGCAAATGATGACAACAAGCACAAGCAGCATTGTAGTAAAAGCCACAACAGCATTTTCCAATGATTTATTTAAAGTTGCAACTTCATTCTCGTGGAATATGTCGATTTTCAACAGCATATTTTTCAGACATCTACACGCACAAGCACACGTACTAGTCGACGCCTTAGAACAGGCATGGGCAAACTAAGGCCCGGGGTCCAGATGCGGCCCGTTCAGCCTTTTAATCCGGCCTGCCAAACTTTTTTTATATTATACTAAACGTTTCCCCAATAGATGGCGTAAAGAAGGCTAAACTTTTACATGTCATTTATCTTAGTTCACACCAACGCTCCATCTATCTGCTCTTGACCCGGCCCACCTGTCAAATTTTAGGACAGTTGTGGCCGGCGAGTCAAAAAGTTTGCCCTGCCTTAGAACCTTTACTTAAGATGCTTCTATATTCGTCACACCTAACAAGGCTAAAAGAAGTACGCCTAAATGATTGGCATTGAGTATTTTGAGTACTTGTACAAGAATAGGAGGGAATGTCAACCTTGTCACAAAAATATTCTCTATTTGTTTAAAAGCCGACTTTTTAGCTATGTGGACCATAACTGTCCACCTACTGGCCTGGAGGTTAAACTGCAGTTTAGATCAAAAAGCAAAAAAAATAAATAAAGACCTCCACAATAGACCCACGATAAACCAAAATATAACTCCGTAATCTACGTACATTTGGGTCATGAATTAGCTCTTGCGATTTCTGACGCGCTGCACGGAGGCATATCTCTGTAGCTCAGCTTCCCCTGAGAGCTTTAAAATATTGTTCCTTTCCTAGCGTCGGAGCGAATTATGAGTCACAGCTTTTGTTTTTCTGCCACCTCTTTTATCTACAGGATTAAGCACTCATTAAGACCCAGCAAAGGTCAACGTGTCACATAGGCGTTGTTTCCATTTGCAAATGTTTTATCTTCCTTTTTGTTTTCCGGTCCAGTGCGTCCTATCCAAATATCATGCATTGAAAAAACAATATACGCTGCAAACTATTGTTCCAGAGTGAGGTGAAGACAGAAGTGGCTCCGCTGGGAAGTAGCTCTGTTTAAATAGGTTAATTGGGAAATGAGGGGAACTTGGACACGTAAATTAAATAAAGTAGCCGCTTAGCTGTTAAGCTACAGCTTAGCTTGTTTCAAAAGCCACGAAGGGAAAGTGTTGGTAATTCCTTTTATAGAGTCGGTAGATGTCAACATCAATCCTCATGATTTTCCTCTTTGTTATATCCACTCCAGTTTTTAGTGTCTCAGTGATTTCATTTCATCCAGTTTCTGCTAAAAAAAAGAAACCTTAATGATGGACCACAAAGTCTTGAGTACATTTTTTATTTAGGTAGTAAAATCCAGTGAGAAGTAGCTTCATTTTGGCATCAGTTAATGTGCAGAACCAGAATCCACCGCTTTGGCTGCGGTCGTGCATTTCGTACGACGCAGTACCATTTATTGTGCACGGCCTGTGATTGTTTGATTGTTCAGCACGTGTTCTCCCCGAAGCTCGCAGGCAGGAAAATGATCCAAAAATCTTCAGGTTTTCTTTTCCTCCCTCCTCCACCCCGCAGCCTTCACTTCGCTCCCGCCCTTGATTTTCCCTGACGTTATCTCAGCATGAGATGATTATTAGCCCTCCTCCTACCCTCGCTGAACACACACACACACAATCACACACATCCCAAAAGACTAAATGGGATTTCGTAGCTTGGTGAAAAGTTTGGGTGACAGTGGGTGGGGAGTGCTGCTGCTGCACAGCCAGTGGGCTGCTTGATGATTGGCATCCTGTTACAGTGCTCGCATGCAGCGTGGGAGAGAGAGAGAATAGTGTCATGGCAACCGCATTAAAAAGCACTTTAAACTGATTTACTTAGAAAAGGCAATGGAGGTTTTGTTGATATCCACCTTTTTTTGCTGTTGATATTAAATGTTTTTACAATCTGTGCTTTGGAGGGTCAAAAAAAATAACAATCAGGTGAGAAAACTTTACTCTGGAGTTAATCAGCTACTAATGGACGGAGAGCTAAGATTTAAAGCAATATTCTCAGTAGGTTTTTGTTACTTTGGTGTGTGTGGCTCCCCTTGGTCTCTGACAGTACACACTTGTGATAATGTACATGTATGAACTGCACCATAGCCATGGGCCGACCCTGAATCATCAATGACAAGTCATTTGAGATGACGCATGGTCCTGGCGGGGCTGTCCTTGAAGCTCATGGTCAGTCTCCACTGTTTTGACTCCAGGCTGAGCCGTTCCATTTTTAGCCACCGCCGCCGTTGTTACTGTTGCAGAAAGAAAAAGAGTGACGTTGTTGTTACACTTCTTTCACGAAACACGAGAAACGTCTGTGTGAGTGTTCACCGAGCTGTTGGTACCAGTGTTTGTGACAAAAGTCAACGTCCCCCCCCCCCTTCTCTCACCTCGGACGTCCACTGATGTTGTAGTCTGACCGAAGTGACTGCTGTCAAGGTCTCGTGAGGACACACACTCAGCATCATGGACCATCATCATCTCATGAAATAACAGTAAATGGAGCCAACCCTATGCACTTCTCCCGTTGTGCAATATCTATGAATATTTGTTTGTGATGCAGAAGTGCCACCTGTCGTGCAAACCCTGTAATTGTCATCCTGTACTAGCGCTAACCACCAGTCCTTTTTGATCCCCGTGCATTCTTTTATGTTGAAGGAACCCCCCTCAGTCTCTGTGGGTAAGTGCAGCCACCAGGTGTCTCCGCAGTGCAGATGTGATCCCCCCCCCCGCTCCCCCCGTCGTACGTCTCTGTGAACAAACCAGCCTTTGAACCTCACCCGTCTGTTCATTTTCTGTCGCTCGTTGGAAGCTCTGACCTAAAGACTCTTTAAGGAATCTTGAGAAGGCCAGTTATATGTAGAAATAATAATAGTAACTATAGAGATTTTTATCAGAGTTGTTATTGTTGCCTGTATCACAGTGTATCGTTATTATAGAAGGAGGTAGATTATGTTCAAGTAGGATCTATACAGGGAAAAAGGAAGTGCTTCTCGTTTGTTTTGTCTATTTACATTCTTTTATGGCTTTTTTTTTAAATGTACCAGAAGAAATATTTAAGTCTTGGAATGTCTCCTCCTCCTTGTTTACAGTGTCGGCATTATCAGTGACATGATTCAAGGCTGTTTTACTTTTGTTTGTTTGTTTGTTTTTAGCAAAATATGGTACAGTCCCATTAGACAGGCCTTCTCAGGGTGACGGGTTGAGCAAACGCCATCCATTCAGGGTATCCATCCATAGCTCCACAGAGCAGGAAACACTGTACACATGGATGGTTTGACAAATAAAAAATAAAAAAATCTTAACAGTGCTGTATATTTGAAAGGACACGGGATGGATTTTGGAAAATAAAGCTTTTAGAACTCTGATAGTGTTTTTTTTTTTATTATTATTTGTGTGTGTTTGTGTATGTAAATCTGCTGCTAATTTATGTTTTGTCATACTTCCTAGGACGATGGGAAGATGTCACTTTTTCCAAAGTTGTCATTGCATTTAGTGAAAAATTCAGGAAAAAATCAAATCAGGAGCGGTTATTCCTTAGTGTGTAAAGGAAAAGGACAAAATACATTTTTAAAGTGATCAATGTGTTATCGGGTGGATAACACATTGCCTATGGGATGCATACGGGATGTATGCTACTCTATATTTAGAGACTCTATATTTATATATGCAATATATAAATATATACATATTTGTATATATAAATATATAATTTATATTTGGATATGTATATTATATTTACATATGGTTTATATATTTGTATGTACATATATGTATATATATACAAATCTATAGACCATATATATACAAATCTATCAGATTATATATATGTATATAATCTGATAGATTTTTATATCTGAGTTGTGTTGTAGTAACTAAGTACAGAATCCAAGTACTGCTATGCTACTTGGATTAAATAAGTATCCAGGTCATTCAACCTTAACTCAATTCACTCTTCATCAGCACCGTGTACTGCACTTTAACTTCTTCTTAACTTCTTTGAGGTCAACCCCTGCTCATCAGCGACATGTCAGACTAGACTAGACTAGACCAGACTCACCAACACAGTTGGAGTCACACAGTACTTTCAATTGAGTTCCCACGTGTTGTTCTGTGCCTTCAACATGAGTTATTCCAGATTAAATCAACCTATGCCAATGGGAAAATGGTGTCACTGATGCTCTTAGGCAGCCACCGTAACAACTTGCCATCAGCGCAACTGATGGTTTAAGGAGAGCGGATATTTTCCATCTCCCGGAGGAACGTAAAATTGTGTAATAACACAGAAAATAAAGGTGACACCGCCATTTAAACTCTGCTCACTGTCGTGTGGCATTGTTTTGGAAATTCAGCTGCATGGAAATGAGGTCAGAGCCGTGGCAGCCCGTGGAGTTGAAGTCTATTTTCTCTTCAGCGAAAAAGAGAAAAAGAAAAATGGAGAGGAGGAAAACATTATCTATTTTATGGGTCACCTGGGAGAGCTTGATGCTCAGCTGCGCTGTCATACAAGAGTAAAAATAGTATCACTGGCAGCAACACAAGGACATTACCTTGTTGCCCTGTGACTGTGACGAGAAAAGTAGAAATTTCTCTTTTGAGGTCTCGGTGTAGTTTAGAGAAAAATGGCCGTTCAAAAAATCACTGAGGAAAAAGATGAATGTCCTGGTTCTGAGATGTTACACAAAGGGTTTGAGAAGGTGAGAGGTCGACAACTGACACGCGTCTTCTTCTCTGTTTGACGGTACAGACATTAAAAATGAATAATATTAACGTTCAGAGTCACACATGGAGTGAAACATCAAAGCGCCTGGTCAGTTTGTAGTCATTAAAATAACATGATTGAATAGAGATTTGTACACGATAGCGCCTCCTGAGGGTAGGGCTGTGCAGAATGTTGTTTCATAAATGTTCCACTTGAGCTTTTTTCATTATCTTGCATTAACCTCTGCAGTGAGCTGGCCCTGAGGAAATAGAACATCGTTTACTTCACTCAAATGTCTCTGAGCATGTCCAACTGAAATCCAGGCACTGTAAAATGTATTAATGTGTGTGTGCGGTGGGGAAAGGGAAGGGGAGGGCTTCAAATTAAATTCTGTTTATTGGCAAACAAACAATTAATGTTCTGCTGATTAGCAACACATTTCACAGTCCCTCGGAAAGCAAATTAAATGTAAATTTGGAGATTTTATAAGTGTTCACAGTAGAATGGAGTTCTTGATTTTCCTGTGATAAAAAGGACTGACACTAGTGAAAGAACATCAACCCCTTAGTAAAACAATTTCTAACAGAAGATTGGTTAGAATCACTCATGTATATATATTTTATGACATGCTGTTCAGGAAATGAATCCTTGAATATATATAAAGAAAGTCTGAATATATATACAAAATACAATGGTGAAACGGTTAGTTGGCATTTTGTGTTTAAATCATTTGTTTTTGTAGATTTTTTACCAATGAGCTTTTCTGTTACAGTCGTCAAAGCACGTGAAAAAAAGTGAAAACCAAGTGAAAAAAAGAATGTGACTGTCAGCGGTCGACTGTAGGGGGTGCGCTGATATTGTATGGTTTGTGTAACGGAAATAGAAATACGTTGTACGTCATTATTTCCGGTTGTGGATCCGACGGACGTGTTAGCCGTTTGGGCTTCCAGCGGGCGTTCAAGTACAAAAACTGGGCACAGTGGCAACAGCTGATTGATAGAAATGGTGGGTTTTTGAAAACAATTGTCTGTTGTATTTTATTTGAAACGATAGTCGTTCGGTCGAGACCGTTAATGCAGTTTACGTTAGCATATGCGTCTCGGCAGCTAACGTTAGCTTTTGTCAGAAGTTAGAATGATTCGTAGTTAGTTTTCCGTCCTAAATAATGAATATGGAGTTGCCGTGGTCAATAATAAATTAGCCGTAGGAGTTTAAGTTGGTCTGGACCTTTTAAAAATATTAAATTAACCTGCGAATATTACTTTTCTGTACAGAAACCCATCCTACTGCAGGACCACGGACGGTCCATCACTCAGATCAAGTACAACGGAGAAGGAGACCTGTTTTCCGTCGCTAAAGATCCAGTAAGTGACACGAAATGATTTCACTTAACAAGTGCCACCAATGACTATAGTTTAGTAATTAGTTTGACGTAAAAAATATGGAATGTCCTACAAATGGCGTCACGAAAAGCAGAGTAACCCTCTGCTAGTTTTGACTGGTAATTGTGTTGAAAATATAAGGCCATATGCTTTAAAGTGTGTGAGATATGAAAATCATACTGTAGTAATGAAAAGGGAATTAACAATTAAAACAACAATTAAAACACACAAATGGCTAGAATACAAACATGAGTAGCAGCAGCACACTGTCAATGAATATGGGAAATCTGAACAGTGGATGTTAATAGATTAGTCTGTTAGAAGTAGATAGATTAGTGTTAGTAGATTAGTAGGTAATTGTTGTTGCCGTGTGTGGTGTTGTTGATTGCAATCTCAATTATCATATTTTTATTATGCTATTGTTATTCTAAATTAAATTGTATGGTGTCTACATATAATAAAGTATACCACATTATACCTATGATAGGTATATAAGCAGAACTAGTATAAATAAAGGGATGTTATATGAACAAGTATATAAAATAAATATATATGAAATATGTGCACAGTGTAAATAGTTGGCTAGTAAAATAATGAAATTAAATAAACAGCTATATAGGTGATTTCAGCAGACATATTAGTGCATGCGTATTTAAATGTATTTTGGTTTTTAATTTTTGATCCGTGTCCTTTCTTTAATGTCTGCCATCAGAACACACGGGTTCAATTTCAGCGGCAACATCATCATGTTTGTCCACAGAGAAGCAGATGGGCTGTCAGTGTTTCATGAACTTCTTTGACCTGAGGGATCCACAACAGATCGGTAGGTGATCGTCACACGCAACGTAAACAAATGAATACCGTAAAAGAAATGAGACTGCAGATAGTACACAGCTTCCTGATTACTGCTAAAGATATTGTTTGCACACAGTATTATAGAATTGAAATAGAGGAAATAATGAATCACCCACAGCATCTGTTGTTGAGCTTGTGATATTCATGAACATGTTTTTCTTTTCTTTTTCTCTAAATAGTCCGGAGAAGTCCTGAAGAAAGCCAAGGAGCACAACAGGCACATCGACGACATCCAGATGTCTGTTGCCCTCACCATGTTCATCAGTGCCTCAAAGGACAACACCGCCAAGGTGAGAACTCTTATGTCACAGTAGTTCTGTGCCATTTGAGTCTAAATGATTGATGTGATTACAGTTGTTGAAACATGTTATAAATAATGTCATCAGAATGACACCTGGCTGGCCATCAGGGAGAACGCCCAGAGAAGAGATTTGTTTTTAACCTTAAAAATGAAACCTGAGTTTGTAGTTTTTATAGAAAAAAGTTGTCTATGAAGATTCTCAGTCATCCAGGTCAAGGTTGAAGAGTTCTGTTAGGCAACTGGACGTGGAATTTTCTCATTCAATATACTGTGGGTGTGACAAAAACTTCAGGTCCCTCTTGTCAGGGTCATCTGGGGAAGTGTTAACAGTCGTTAGGAGTCTCATGGGTCGTTGTAATCCTCATCAGATTGGTTTCAGTATGTGGGAGATTGTGTCCTAGCCCACCTCCTCTGTTGAGTGAAAATGTAAAGTCCAGTTGCCTAATGGAATTCTTCAACAAAGAAAAGAGTTATTGTTTTCCTTTTAACTCTTGTATTTGTGAGCTGACCCTCCAGTCATTTGTGCTTGAGACCCCCGCTCCAGAGTAGAACAACAGAAATACAGTGGATATAAAAAGTCTACACACCCTTGTTCAAAGCCAGGTTTTTGTGATGTAAAGAAAAGACACAAGCATAAATCGTTTCATAACTTTTTCCACTTTTAATGTGACCCATAACATGTAATAGGCAATTGAAAAACAAACTGAAATCTTCACGAGGGAAAAATAAAAACCTAAAACAACCTTGTTGCATAAGTATGCACACCCTTAAACTAATACTTTGTTGCAGCACCTTTGGCTTTAATTACAGCACTCAGTCTTTTTCGGTAAGTGTCTATGAGTCTGGCACATTTTGATGTCGCAATATTTGCCCATTCTTCTTTGCAAAATTGCTCCAAATCTGACAGATTGCGAGGCAATCTCCTATGCACAGCTCTCTTCAGATCACTCCACAGATGTTCAATCGGATTCAGGTCTGGACTCTGGCTGGGCCATTCTAAAACCTCAATCTTTTTGGATCTTTGTCATGTTGAAAGATAAACTTCCTCTTCGTCTTCAGTTTTCTGAGAGTATATTAATACACATACAATAGTAGGTGTGGTTACTTTGTGTGTGTCCACTTGTCCAATTTATTTACAATGACATTTTCCTTCAGTCTGGGCGTGTTGGTCAATCTGTCTGTACTACAGACCTCTCGTAATGTGATTCCACTGACTTATGTACTTATACTGAAATAGACTTCAGAATATTTGAAGTACATCTTAGGAGAAATGAGTGGTACAGTTTAGTGTTACTTTTTAATGTTGACAGATTTCAGTCCAATAAAGCTAAGTGACTTGACTGTCTGTGACTTTAAGGCCTTGAAGAGAGATGAGTGCATGATGCTGTTAAATGCTCTAAGTCAGCCACCCAGATAGGGTGGAGTAAAAACAAAATTGTTTGTTTGTTTTGGAATCCAGATGAAATATCTGTTTGCAGCATTGAATTTGTAATATTGTTGATAGTGATGTGTAAACATTTAGTTGTTATGACATTTGATTGTTCAACAGACTTCCCACTGTAATTGTAATGTTGTTGGTCCTGTGGAAGGGACTACTTTGTAGCTGCTCTTAAGGAAAACCTGTTTGTTTGTGTTAACATGTGGCACAGTGACGTGTTCTTCTAATCTGCAGGTTCTTCCAAGCAGCGTACGAGGAGGAGTTTGGCAGGAGTCAAAGGTCATTTTGGTCTCATCAACTGTGTGGCTTTCCACCATGACGGCAAGAGGTAAATGACTGAGAACCTACACAGACAGCTGTTGATTGTGTTATTCCAGCTTGTTCCATTCATTGTGCCTTAATGCTATGGTCAGATACTAAATGGAGTCACTTTTTGGCAACACTGTCATTTTTTTGGCCTTTCATTGTGCCTTAATGCTATTGTCAGATAGTTAACAGGGTCACTTTTTAACAACACTTAGTCTATTTTTTGCCTTCACACTGTGTTGTTCCAGTTCATTCCATTCATTGGTGCCTTACTGCTATTGTACTTTCATTGTGAGCTAAACGACTGTTGTAAACCTTCCGGAACAAGCCTCTTCAAAAGGTAAAAATTCATTGTGCTTTCATGCTGTTGTAAAATAGTCACTTTCATTGTGAAGTGTATTTGATTGTTTTAAACCTTCCAGAATAAAGAAATTAAATTGTTGGAATGTTGTGTGTGATCTGCATTTATTTCCAAAAATTGAGCAAAAAATTGAAAATATGAATGGAATTTTTCATTGACCTTTGGAGCGTGCATTATCAAAGTCAAAGGTAGCGTATAGGAAAAGAAAGAAAAAAAAATTAGATTGTTTTTTTTATTTTTCAGATTTTTTTTGTTTAAGTTTTTTGTTTTTAAGTTGTTTTTTGTTGTTGTTTTTTTAAAAAAAAAAACCCTCGTGAAAAAATCCATAAAAATAAAAAGTCCCCGAAATGCCTTAAAATGCAAGATTATGTCCTAAAACATGCTGCCAAGGGAATATTTTGTTGCCGGCAGTTAAGGCATGTTTTGGGTGATTTTTGAAATATTCATATAAAATACTTTTTGGACTTTTAAACACAAAATATTCACTTGGCAGCATGTTTTAGGACAATCTTGCATTTTAAGTCTTTTGGGGGACTTTTTATTTTTATGGATTTGTTCACGATGGTATTGTTTACAACATTCAAATACACTTCACAATGAAAGTGAC